CCCCAAAATCCCACAACGAAGCTCCAAACCCTGGTGGGGTCACCCTGAGCCATTTTTTGGGGCAAATCCCAAAGTTTTTTTGGGAACCCCCAAAAATTTTAGGGCTTTCAGGGACCCCCCCCGATATTTTGGGGACCCCCCCGAGTTTTAGACCCCCACCCCAAATTTTGGGATTTCCCTCCCAGCACCTCCGGGATGACAAACCCCCCCAACCCTGGGGTCGTTTTTGAGGTGAGTTCCGTTTTTTTGGGGGGCCCCACAAATCTGGGGGGTTTTGGGGCTCCCCCCCACCCGAATTTTGGGGGGTTTGGGGGCTCCCTGACCTCGGCCCCCCGCAGGTACTGCAGGATGAAGAACCAGAGCTGGGCGGGGGTGTCGAGCAGCAGGAACTGGAACCCGGCCGAGGTGATGCAGGGGGGCTCGCCCCCCTCGCTGGGGACCCCAAAAAATCGGGGAGGGGGCGTCAGGAAACCCCCAAAACCCACAGGAACCGCCCCAAATTCACAGCACCCCAAAATCCAACTGAATCGGCCCAAAATTCTTCCAAAAATCCCCTCTAAAATCCAACTAAATGGGTCCGGAATCCTCCCCAAAATCCCCCTCAAAATCCATCAGAATCGGCCCAAAATCCTCCTCAAAATCCATCTAAATTGGCCCAAAATCTCCCCCAAAATCCTCCCCAAAATCCCCCCCAAAATCCTCAATTTCCCTCACTGGCGACCCCAAAATTGGGGAGGGGTCCCAAATCCCCTCCAGGACCCGCAAAATCCCTCCCAAAACCACGAAATTCCCTCAGGACTCCCTCAAACCCCTCAAAATTCTCCCTAAACCCCCTTAGGATGTCCCAAATCCCAAAAATTTCCCCGAAATCCCCCAAACCTCTTCATGAGGCCGGCCTGCACCAGCAGCTGTGCCAGGTCCCAAAATCCCCCTGAAAAAACCCTAAAAAATCCCTAAAAAAACCCCAAATCCCCTCAAATCCTCCCCAAATCCCTCCAAATTCTCTCTAAACCCCCTCAAGACCCCCCAAAATTCCCAAGACCCCCCAAAATCCCCCCAAATTCCCCAAACCTCTTCATGAGCCCGGCCTGCACCAGCAGCTGCGCCAGGTCCTGGCTGACGGCCGCGCTCGGGGACCCAACCATGAAGTGCAAAACCACCTAAAAATAAAACAATTTTAGCTTCTCCGGCACCCCAAAATCTCCCAAAATCCCATAAAATCCCCCAAAATGCCCCAGTTCCCACCTCCCAGCGCTCCTCAGCGTACTTGTCCAGCGCGGGCACGTCGCGGGCGTGCCGGTCCGGGCCCAGCGGGGCCGTGTCGTCCGACCAGGCCTTGCCCCTGCCAGGACCCCAAAATGCGGCCCCCGGGGGGGTCAGCACCCCAAAAAAAACCCAAAAACCACCCCCAAAACCCTCAGATCCACAAAGTCCCAAAAGCTTCCCAAAATCCCCTCACAAATCCCGATTTTCTGATTGTTCAGCCCAAATTCCCACACAGGCCTCAGCCTGAGGGGACTCCTAAAATCAGCAATTCTTGACGTGGTTTGGACCCCAAAAAAGCCCAGAAAACCCCAAAAACTGCACCCCAAAATCCCCAGACCCACAAAGTCCCAAAAGCTTCCCAAAATCCCCTCACAAATCCCGATTTTCTGATTGTTCAGCCCAAATTCCCACACAGGCCTCGGCCCTGAGAAACCCCCTAAATCAGCAACGCCTGAGGGGGTTTGGAACCCCAAAAACGACCCCAAAAACCCAAAAAACTACCCAAAAAACGACCCTAAAAACCTCCAAAACCACCCCAAAACCCGCCAGTCCCACAAAGTGTGGGAAATGCACAAGGCCCAGATTTCCTCCCCATTTTTCTCTCATTTTCCCTACATTCTCCCCCCAAATTTTCTCCACTTTTTCTCCCCGTTCCCCATCTTTCCCACATTTCCCCCTTTTTTTCTCATTCCTCCCTCCCTCTCAGTCCCCCAATTTTTTCCTAATTTTCCTCCCATTTTTCCCCATTTCTTTCTCCATTTCCCCCCATTTTTTTCTTCATTTTTCCCCTATTACCCCCCATTTCTTTCTCATTTGCCCCCATTTTTTCTCCATTTCACCTCCATTTCTTCTTATTTTTTTCCTTTTTCCCCCCCATTTTCCCCCCATTTTTTCCCTATTTCCCCCCCATTTTTTCCCCATTTTCCCCCGTTTTTCACCCATATTTTTTGTTTTTCTCCCCCCTCACCCCCCCAGCAGGGCCACGCGCAGGTTCTGTCGGAAGTTGGGGTGCAGGGCGACCCCCGGGAGCCCCCCCGGGAGGGTGTGGGGGTGCCACAGGCGCAGCTCCAGCAGCACCTCCTGGCTCTGCTGCTGCTCCCTGCAAACAGCACCAAAGCGCTCTAAATCACCCCAAAATTACACAGAATTACACAAAATTACACAAAACCACCCCAAAATCACAAGGCGCAGCTCCAGCAGCACCTCCTGGCTCTGCTGCTGCTCCCTGCAAACAGCACCAAAGCGCACCGAATCACCCCAAAATTACAAAAAATCACCCCAAAATCACACAAAACCACCCCAAAATCACCCCAAAATTACAAAAAACCACCCCAAAATCACACAAAATCACCGCAATATCACCCCAAAATTACACAAAATTGCACCAAATAGCCCAAAATCACCCCAAAATCACACACAATCACAATAAATCACCCCAAAATTACACAAAATAGCCCAAAATCACACAAAACCACCCCAAAATCACACAAAATTACACACAACCACCCCAAAATCACACTAAATCACCCCAAAATCACCCCAAAATCACACAAAATTACACCAAATAGCCCAAAATCACACAAAATCACCCCAAAATCACCCCAAAATTACACAAAATCACAGAAAATCACCACAAAATCACACAAAACCACCCCAAAATTACACAAAATAGCCCAAAAATCACACAAGATCAGACAAAACCACCCCAAAATCACACATAATCACACCAAAATCACCCCAAAATCACACAAAATCACCCCAGAACACCCCCAAAATAACAGAAATCGCCCCAAAATCGCCCCAAAGTCACAGAGAACAGCCACAAACTGACCCAAAACCACACAAAATTACCCCTAAATCACCCCAAAATAGCCACAAAACCATCCCTACATCACCCCAAAATCCCCCCAAATCCACCCCAGAACTCTCGTGGATTCCCAAAATCTCCCCAGGACCCCCAAAATCTCCCCCAGCCCCACATGCTGTGCTCCTTCTTGACCCAAAAACACCCCCAAAACCCCAAATTTCCTCCCAAAATTCCCCTGAAATCCCCCCAAATCCACCCCAAGACCCTCGGGGACCCCCAAAACCTCCCCAAAACCCCCCCAGCCCCCAAAAACCCCAAAATCCGATTTCCAGTGCTCCTTCCTGTGTGACACGTGTGTGACACCTGTGAGACACCTGGGCACACAGTGCAGCTGCGCCCGCGGCAGCGCCATCGCACCGGGGGGCACACCTGGGCACACCTGGGCACCTGGGTGACACACCTGTGTGTGACACCTGGGCACCTGTGTGACACCTGGGCACACCTGGGCACCTGGGTGACACACCTGTGTGTGACACCTGGGCACCTGTGTGACACCTGGGCACACCTGGGCACCTGGGTGACACACCTGTGTGTGACACCTGGGCACCTGTGTGACACCTGGGCACACCTGGGCACCTGGGTGACACACCTGTGTGTGACACCTGGGCACCTGTGTGACACCTGGGCACACCTGGGCACCTGGGTGACACACCTGTGTGTGACACCTGGGCACCTGTGTGACACCTGGGCACACCTGGGCACCTGGGTGACACACCTGTGTGTGACACCTGGGCACCTGTGTGACACCTGGGCACACCTGGGCACCTGGGTGACACACCTGTGTGTGACACCTGGGCACCTGTGTGACACCTGGGCACACCTGGGCACCTGTGTGACACACCTGTGTGTGACACCTGGGCACCTGTGTGACACCTGGGCACACCTGGGCACACCTGGGCACACCTGAGCACACCTGGGCACCTGTGTGACACGTGTGAAACACCTGGGCACACCTGGGCACACCTGGGCACCTGTGTGACACGTGTGTGACACCTGGGCACCTGTGTGACACATGTGTGACACGTGTGTGACACCTGGGCACACCTGGGCACCTGTGTGACACGTGTGAGACACCTGTGTGACACCTGGGCACCTGTGTGACACGCCTGTGTCACACCTGTGTAACACCTGGGCACCTGTGTCACACCTGGGCACACCTGTGTCACACCTGTGTCACACCTGGGCACACCTGTGTCACACCTGTGTCACACCTGGGCACACCTGTGTCACACCTGTGTCACACCTGTCACACCTGCCCTAATCATGCCCCAAATCCCCAAACTGACCCCACTCCCGCCTCACCCCAGGCCCCCAATTACCCCAAACCCCCAATTAACCCCAATTAACCCAAATGCTTCAATTACCCCAAACCCCCCAATTAACCCCAAACTCCCAATTACCCCAAATAAACCCAAATGCTACAATTACCCCAAACTTCCCAATTAACCCAAATTACCCCAAACCCCCAATTAATCCAAATTAACCCCAATTACCCCAAACCCCACAATTAACCCCAATTACCCCAAACTTCTCAATTAACCCCAATTACCCCAATCTTCTCAATTAACCCAAATTACCCCAAACCACACAATTAACCCCAAACCCCCAATTACCCCAAATAAACCCCAATGCTCCAATTACCCCAAACTTCCCAATTAACCCAAGTTACCCCAAACTCCCCAATTAGTCCAAATTAACCCAAATTACCCCAAACCACACAATTAACCCCAAACCCCCAATTACCCCAAATAAACCCCAATGCTCCAATTACCCCAAACTTCCCAATTAACCCAAGTTACCCCAAACTCCCCAATTAGTCCAAATTAACCCAAATTACCCCAAACCACACAATTAACCCCAAACCCCCAATTACCCCAAATAAACCCCAATGCTCCAATTACCCCAAACTTCCCAATTAACCCAAGTTACCCCAAACTCCCCAATTAGTCCAAATTAACCCAAATTACCCCAAACCCCCGCAATTAACCCAAATTACTCCCAATGCCCAATCAACCCAAATCTCCCCAATTACCCCAAACCCCACGATTAACCCTAACTACCCCAAACCCCCAATTAACCCCAATTAACCCAAATGCTCCAATTACCCCAAACACCCCAACTAACCCAAATTAGGATTTTCCCGCCCCAAATCCCCAAAATTTCCCCAAAATCCCCAAAATCTCCCCCAAATTCCCCCCTCGAACTCACCGCACGCCGCGGCCCAGGCCACGCCCCCTTCCCGCCGGGGCCACGCCCACAAACCAATCTCCCGCCCCGGTTTCCCGGTCACGTGACGCTATTCCCGCCCTTTCCCCGGTCGCGTGACGCTGTTCCCGCCCTTTCCCCGGTCACGTGTCCCGGTGTCACCGCCCGGCCCATGCCAAGATGGCGGCGCCCTCCCTCAGCCGCGCTGCCCTCGGCGCCCCCCGCGTTTTGGGGGCTCCCGGGGCTCCCCGGGCCCGGCCCCGGGCCTGGAGCAGCGGGACCCCCTCAGCGGGGACCCCTCCGGCCGGGGGCAGCCCCGGGAGCCCCGCCTGGGACGGCGCCGAGCGAGCGCGGCTGCGCGGCCGCGAGCAGAGGGAGAAGCGGCAGCGGCTGAGGAGGGAGCGGGGAGCGGAGAGGGCGGTGGAGGAGCAGGTGGGGGCTGGGGGGACTGGGGGGACTGGGAGAGACTGGGAGAGGGGCTGGGGGGGACTGGGAGAGCTCTTCCTCGAGGGGCCCACCATCGCCGAGGAGTTCGAGGTGGGGGCGCTGGGGGGGGTTTGGGGGGCACTGGGAGGGACTGGGGGGCACTGGGAGGGGATTGGGGGGGCACTGGGGGGCACTGGGACAGGGTCTGTCTGTGACGTGCACTGGTTTGTACTGGTGTGCGTTGTTCTGGACTGGTTCCCAGTGGTTTTTACTGGTCTGTACTGGTTTATACTGGGTTATGTTGGTATACCAGTCCGTACTGGTCGGTACTGGTCCATACTGGTCCGTACTGGTTCATACTGGTTTCTACTGGTCTGTACCGGTCCGGAGTGATCCATACTGGTCCATACTGGTCCGTACCGGTCTGTACTGGTCCATGGTCTGTACTGGTTTATACTGGGTTATGTTGGTATACCAGTCCGTACTGGTCGGTACTGGTCCATACTGGTCCGTACCGGTCTGTACTGGTCCATACTGGTCTGTACCAGTTCGTACTGGTCCATACTGGTCCGTACCGGTGCATACTGGTCCATACTGGACCACGCTGGTCCGTACTGGCTCATACTGGTCCATACTGGTCTGTACCGGTTCGTACTGGTCCATAGTGGTCCGTACTGGTTCATACTGGTTTCTACTGGTCTGTACCGGTCCGGAGTGATCCATACTGGTCCATACTGGTCCGTACCGGTCTGTACTGGTCCATACTGGTCTGTACCAGTTCGTACTGGTCCATAGCGGTCCGTACCAGTCTGTACTGGTCCGTGCCGGTCTGTACTGGTCTGTACTGGTCCGTACTGGTTCATATTGGCCTGTACTGGTTTCTGCTGGTCTGTACTGGTCCATAATGGTCCATATTGGTCTGTACTGGTCCATACCGGTCCATACTGGTTCATACTGGTCCATACTGGTCCGTACTGGTCCATACTGGTCCATACTGGTCCATACTGGTCCGTACTGGCCCATACTGGTCCGTACTGGTCCATACTGGTCCGTACTGCTTTATGCTGGTCCGTACTGGTCTGTACCGGTCTGTACTGGTCCATACTGGTCCGTACTGGTTTATGCTGGTCCGTACTGGTCCATACTGGTCCATGCTGGTCCGTACTGGTCCATACTGGTCCATACTGGTCCGTACTGGTCCATACCGGTCCGTACCGGTCCCACAGGGCCTCCCCAAGGGCTGGAGCCCCAAAGCTGAGGTGGAATATCGGCACCCACTGGGCCCCGACGGCAAAAAGGGTGAGGGGATTTGGGGGGATTTTGGGGGATTTTGGGGGGTCCCCAAGGGGGGGTGGCACTGTCACCTCCCCCAGGTGACATCTGGGGACAGCCCTGTGCCAGTACAGCCCCGAATTTGGGGGGATTTTGGGTGGATTTGAGTGGATTTTGGGGGGATTTGGAGAGGATTTGAGTGGATTTTGAGGGGATTTGGAGAGGATTTTGGGGGGATTTTGGGGGATTTGGGGTGTCCCCAAGGCGGGGTGAGTGGCACTGCCACCCCCCTGAGGTGACATCTGGGGACACAGCCGTGGCTGTGCCCCTCCCCCCCCAATAAAGCTCTGCATACTGGTCTGTACTGGTCCCGCAGGGCCTCCCCAAGGGCTGGAGCCCCAAAGCTGAGGTGGAATATCGGCACCCACTGGGCCCCGACGGCAAAAAGGGTGAGGGGATTTGGGGGGATTTTGGGGGATTTTGGGGGGTCCCCAAGGGGGGGTGGCACTGTCACCTCCCCCAGGTGACATCTGGGGACAGCCCTGTGCCAGTACAGCCCCGGTTTGGGGGGATTTTGGGTGGATTTGAGTGGATTTTGGGAGGATTTGGAGAGAGTTTTGGGGGGTTTTGGGGGATTTGGGGAGGATTTTGGGGGGATTTTGGGGGATTTGGGGTGTCCCCAAGGCGGGGTGAGTGGCACTGCCACCCCCCTGAGGTGACATCTGGGGACACAGCCGTGGCTGTGCCCCTCCCCCCCCAATAAAGCTCTGGTTTGGGGGGTGTGGAACAATTTTGGTGGATTTTGGGCGGGTTTGAGCAGATTTTGGGTGGATTTTTGGGTATTTTTGTGGATTTGAGCAAATTTTGGGGTGGATTTGAGCAGATATTGGGGTGGATTTTGGGTGGATTTGAGCAGATTCTGGGGGGATTTTTTGTATTTTGGTTGGATCTGAGCAGATTTTGGGTGAATTTTTGGGTGGATTTTCATGGATTTGAGCAGATTTAGGATGAATTTTTGGGTATTTTGGTTGGATCGGAGCAGATTTTGGGGGGATTTTGGGTAGGCTGGGGGGGTTGAGTGGGATTTGGGGCCATTTTGAGGGGCCTGGGGGGGTTTGAGGGGCATTTTGGGGGGATTTTGGGAGTTGTGTTGGGGTTTGGAGGAGATTTTGGGGGGGGTTGGGGACTAGTTGGAGGGGTTTGGTGTTTTTTGGGGTTATTTTTGGGATATTTTGGGTTTTTTGGGTTATTTTTGATTATTGTGGCGATATTTTGGGATAATTTTGGGGGTTTTTTGGGTAATTTTGGGGTTATTTTGGGGTTTTTTTGGTTATTTTGGGTTAACTTTGGGGTTATTTTGGGATAATTTTGGGGGTAATTTTGAGTTCTTTTAGGATAATTTTGGGGTTTTTTTGGGGATATTTTAGTTTACTTTGGGGTTATTTTGGGGTAATTTTGGGGATATTTGGGGATGTTTTCGGATATTTTGGGATATTTTGGGTTTTTGGGCACAGGAGGAGGATGCAGGGCTGGAGCGTCCTGTGGGTGCCGGGCACCGACCACGCCGGCATCGCCACCCAGGTGTGTCCCCAAATGTCCCCAAATGTCCCCAAATGTCCCCAAATCCCCTCCCCAACGTCCCCACGCCTGCATCGCCACCCAGGTGTGCCCCAAATGTCCCCAAATGTCCCCAAATGTCCCCAAATCCCCTCCCCAACGTCCCCACGCCGGCATCGCCACCCAGGTGTGTCCCCAAATGTCCCCAAATGTCCCCAAATGTCCCCAAATCCCCTCCCCAACGTCCCCACGCCTGCATCGCCACCCAGGTGTGTCCCCAAATGTCCCCAAATGTCCCCAAATGTCCTCAAATGTCCCCAAATCCTCTCCCCAACGTCCCCACGCCAGCATTGCCACCCAGGTGTGTCCCCAAATGTCCCCAAATGTCCCCAAATCCCCTCCCCAACGTCCCCACGCCGGCATCGCCACCCAGGTGTGTCCCCAAATGTCCCCAAAT